GACAGGCCGCAAGTGAATTGCGAATGAAGGGATGGAATTCTCTAATACTGGAGCCTAAATCGGGAGTGAATCACTTAAGAATTAAATCAGACTCTGGATCTATGTGAGCTTAGCTAGTCTTAGAAATATATGTTCAATCAAACTTTTTTTTAATATCTCCTATTTCTAAAAAGGATCTTTAATCATGATATTAAATTTCATGAGACTTTAGTCCATGAGTCCCTAACTGGATGCCAAGACTAGCTAGCTGTAAACTCTGACTGGGTACCAGACCATCGGTTTGGGGTCCAGGTTGCAGCACATGCTGACTTTCCGGGTCTGATGACACCAGCATTGTTAGAATTAGGAGGGCCCCCAGGCATGAACAAACAGCTGGCCAGTTCTTTCTACATGAAAGCCCATCTTGACGTTGCCCAGTTTTCATCGTTTATTGCATGCCCATCTCACCATTGTTGCTTGAATATCTGACCTCTCAGCAGAAATTTTACCTTTCAAAACTCAGCTCTACTTGTCTACACCTGCTTTGAGAAAGTGACTCTCGCATTCTCTCCCTTCCTCCAGCGCCTTTCTTTCTTCCCCTTCTCAGAAGTGTTGCCCTGTTTGCTTAGTACCCTGTACATACAGACTTCTATCAGGGGGTCAGCAAGCACCTGTAAGGAAAAATGCTCCATCTGTTTAAAAAAGAATAGGTGAATAATCAGTTTCTAGTAAATCATGACAATAAAGGGTATACAGTGGTTTGTAGAGTGACACTTTTTCTCCCCCCCCCCACCCCAAGCTTCTAGTCTGTTGTAGGTCTCATGCTCCAGAGGGCTTCCTACTTTTTGTTTTTTCTTCAGTTTTATTGACATATATTCACATACACATTTCAGTGGTTTACACATATTGCAGAGTTGAACAATCATCACAATCAATTTTAGAACATTGTCTTCTTTCTTCCCATTTTCTCCCAACCTCCCATTAGCTTCCCAATTTCTCCCATCCTCCCCTTGCCACACTCCTAAGAAACGATTGATCCAATTACTATTTCTATAGACTGACCGATCCAGGATTTCATACAAAGAAAGACATACACAACAAAGCTCGACACCTCTCAGAGTGGCTGGCTCCTGACAGCTGATCCCAGGCAGCAAATCCCTATCTAAAACTGTCTTCACAGGCACAAGTCATTTTTTCATCAATTTAAATCTTGACAGAACCAATACAAATCCTCTTCCTCCGTTTAGGAAACAACAGAATAAAACACAGAAGAAGAGAGCTGTGAGCCTGGATCCCTCAAATGACTGGCACGTGACCATCAATTTATTAGCAGCAGGCTTGAGGGAAATTATCTCCCAAAAGAGTAACTTTGCTTTTCCCTCCTAAGTGCTGGGATTACATATTTATTGCAAAGCCTACCACAGTATGATATAGGTACCAAATGCTTAGCATAAACATATTAGTATGAAAGTCATTGCTGATAAGTTTTTTTGTAATCATTTTATTGGGGGCTCGTACAACTCTTATCACAATCCATACATACATCACTGATAAGTTTAAAAGGCAAAAAGACAACAAGTTGAAATAGAAATTTACACAGCCCCATTATTGATAACACCTATCACAGTCTAACATCATGTTGTTCATTAAGCCCTATGCCTCCTCGCAGCAATGTCTTATTCATCTTTGTATCACCAGGTTTGGCTGTGTATGGCATACAAATGTGTGAATTAGTGAAAAAAATACATATAGTCCAAGAACAACTCACTTAGAATGGATATTTATACCTGGTTCCCACTGTACATATCAGTAACTCTCTCCCTCGGGGACTAATTCTAATTGTCTTCTGGAGCAGTGGAGAAGAGTTTTTTCTCTTCCACCTGCACCCACTGCTCTGGAGTCCCTGCCAACTCAGAGGGACCACCTAAGACCGAGGAGAACAGCCCCCTCCAGCCGTAGAGTTTCCAGGGCTGTGGCTTTACAGAAGCAGACTGCCGCATCGTTCTCCTGTGTAGCGGCTGGTGGGTTAGAACCGCTGACCTTTCCGTTAGAGATGTGCCACCAGGGAGCCTTTTGATTATATGAAGGATGAGGGTGAGTCCCAAAGCATTGCTACATCACAGAAACCTTATTAGACAAACATCTCAAAACCTGAAAACTATTATTTCTCAAACACATCTACCTCATCTACGTCTGGACACTTCTGAAGTCTGTTTCCATCTCCCTAACCTTTCTGTGGTGTCCTGGTGGCCTAGCGGGCTACTCACTGAGATGCCAACCACAAGGTCAGAAGTTCAAAGTCATCATCAGCTGCTCTGATTAGGATGAGGATGTCTCCGTACATCTCATAGGGTCTACTCTGTCCTATAGGGTCATCAGGAGTTTAAGCCGTCCGTGGTCTTTGATTTACCACACGACAGCTTTGGCATTCTCAAGGGACTCGAATCGTGTTCCCGTGCCATGTGCTTTGCTTTTGGGGAACAACTCCAACAAAATGACTGCAGGCAAGCCGTAGCTGTCTTCAAAAAATGAACTGTTGGGGGAGGGGGGAATTCCTTGGTGTGACTTTCCTAGCCTTGTTCTCATCAATTCTTTCGTAAAATTTCTTCATAATAAGCACCATGATCATCTTAGGTCTCCTGAGAAAATCTATCAAGATGACTCCTTTGAGATCTAAAAAACGTCACACCACCTTCTGGGCTGACCTCTCCACCGTGAATGTGACCGGCCCAGCAGATCCACTTAGAAGCTGCTTTCACTGGACCTTTGGGGGGCAGGCGTGGAGCGGGGAAGAGGCCCTAACAAGACTGAGACAAGCATATGACTGAGAGAATGTGTCTCTGCCGTCCATTGATGGCAGAGGCAGGTTTAAGCACATGTTGTCTGGAATAAACCAGAGCATGTGTGAGTACCTGTGATGGTGACAGGGGGACATTAGAATATGAGCTAGAGTAGCCGTT